CTAGTGCTCAGCTTCCAACAGAACAGAACAGAACAGAACAGAACCTTGGAAATCTTCTAGTCCAGCCCCCTGCTCAAGCACGAGAACCTATACCATTTCAGAAAAGTGACTATCTAGTTCTATGGTGGCGAACCTATGGCACGCATGCCACAGGTGGCATGCAGAGCCCTCTCTGTGGGCACACGTGCTATTGCCCCACTCCTAGGCCTTCAGCTGGGTTTTATAAAACCTTTTCGCTTTAGGCCTCCACCGTGTGCAAAAAAAAAAGGATCAATCAATTTCAACTTCTCGCGGGGAAAAAAAAGATCTCGCAAAGTTGGAATTGATTGAACTTTTTAGTCCCACCCAGTCTGCCATTACCACCATACCCACCCAATTAGCCACGCCCATGCAATGGGCCACACCCACCCAATGGGCCATGCCCACCCGGCACCCAACGATACATAAGTGGGTTTTGGGTTGCAGTTTGGGCACTCGGTCTCTAAAAGGTTCTCCATCACTGGTCTAGTCTCTTAAAAACCTCCAGTGATGGAGCGCCCACAATGTCTGAAGGCAAGCTGTTCCACTGGTTAATTGAATGAGCTATATGTAGGGTGCTGTGCTTTCAGGTTACATCTAGGAGGATGAACACAAACTAGCTGATAGCTTTTCAGGGCTACTAGATCTAGACCAGTGGTTCTCAACCTGTGGGTCGGGACCCCATTTGGGGTCGAACGACCATTTCACGGGGGTCGCCAAACAATGCAGTCCGCCATTTTTTCCCCTTTTCCTTAGCTGTGCTACTCCCTTTTATTCTATTGGCTTTTGAAAGCCAATAGAATAGACTCTCTTGAATAGAGTCTAATTCTATTGGCTTTCAAAAGCCAATAGGAATTGTCCAGGCTGTCTCTGCCCTGCTGAGCCCGCCAAAAGTCCCATTCTGCAAACGGTGCTGCACCAGTTGAGTAGTCCTCGACTTACGACCGGTTGAGTAGTCCTCGACTTACGACCGGTTGGGGGTTGTGGCATTAAAAAGGTTGAGAACCACTGATCTAGACTGCAAAATCTGGAAGAGGTGGACAAAGCTTTTTCCATCTATCTTTGCTGCCCTCTTGTGGTCAAGCAGAGTTTTGTAGCCCAGATCTAGCAGCCCTTTTATCTGACTGCCGTTGTGTTTTATTAATGAGATAAGTCTCATTAATTTCAATAATTAAAAAATGAGCAATATCACATTAGGCTGGATATCCACAGAGATCTTTCTACTGAATCCACACAATGTGATTTGAACGATCTTATTTTATTCTGCTTTGCATATATTTACCACAGCAGATTTTTTTAAAATAGTTTTCATGACTGTTTTCACTTCAAGGATCAATAGATCATCAATAGCTCCTCAGCTTTTGAGATCACATTTTGTCTTGCTATTTCCTTTTCTTGATATGAGAAGTATTAAAGTTTAATTCTCCCATTGTTGCTGCCCCCATCTTTTTCTTTTTGCTGAATGCCTCACCATTTTTGCTGCTCTTGCCTGGGGTTTAATTTACTGATAGGACAAAACCTTTTGGAACTGTGCTTAACATATTTTATTGATTGCAGACCCCTGTATGGTTTTAATTTACATTCCTGGCATTTTTAAAGCAGCTTTAACATGCTCTCAAATTCTTCTCCTTCCTTATAATTTCTGTCCTTCCTTGAAGGTGTGATCTAATCTTCCGGGCCTTTGTCTTCTCCCATTAAGTGATTTAAGGGGATGTGGGGGAGAGGCTTAATTTGGCAGTCCTTGTTAAAATGTTTGTTTATGTTGTTGATTTAAGCCACTGACAAGCAGCCCTGCCTGGCACCAAATGCTCCCAGCAGCTGAGAAGGAAATTACTGATTTTCCACAGGCTCCATTCATGAAGTAGAAACCAATGTCCTTATTTGGCTATTTGGATTCCCCTTCCCCATCATTACTATCAGAGGATAAGAATTTTGCCCAGTGCTGTTTGTTGGGCAGCAAAGCTGATTTTTCAACATTAGTTTGAGGGTGTGTACTTGAGATTTGTAGAGTTTGACGGAAATAATATAACAATTGTAGCAGTTATGAAAACTCACTTAGTCTAAAAGGATCACTCCAAATAAGCCTGCAAGACTAATTTGCACTATTTCACCACAAAATTGAAATGACTGTGGAGGGAGATCAAAAAAGTCAAGGAGGCAGTCATAGCTGTGCAATCAAAACCTCACCCCACTTTTTAATGTATGTCATGTGAAGGGTCAAAGCAAAGTAGAATTCTGGATAGACAGTGGACAACAGATGGGCATACCAGTTTTAATCAGTAGAAACATCTTTGTGGAAAGATCAATGGCACAATGGAAGACCACAGTTACTGGTCAGTGGGGATAGACTGGGAGAGGTTAATAACAAGAAAAGAATCTTTCAAGGAGACTCATTCTCACCACTACTGTTTATTATTGCATTAATTCCTCTGTCAACAATACTGAACAAGTCAGGCTGTGGCTATCAAACATCAAAAACATCTTCCAGGCTATCCCACCTCCTTTATATGGACAATTTGGAACTGTATGGAAAAACACCATCTGAAATAGAATTGTTGCTCAACACTGTCCATAAATAAGACCAAGGTATTGCAATGGAGTTTGGATTGGACAAAGGTGCTCCCTTCATCATCAAGAGGGGGAAAATAGTGAAAACCGAAGGAATTAAGATGCTGTATGGAAATCTGGATGAAGATGATCACTACAAATCTTCCTCAGGCTGACCTCATGAAGCACTGAAGTCAAGAAGTTAGACGGGAATATATCATGAGAGTAGAGAAGATTGTGAAAATCGAAACTCAGTGGAGGAATACTATCAAAGCTCTTAACACATGGGCAACTCCAGTCATTAGATACACAGCTAGAATAGTGGGCTGAAGCAGAATTAAAAGCATTGGATAGGAAGACCAGAAAAATATTAACAATGAATCGTGCCCTTTTCCATTTGGAAAGCCATCACTGCTGCCCTTCCTTTGTACCATACATGCATATAAATGTGCAATGACCAATACAGTTGCAAGAACAAGACTGCTATGCTTCTAAACTATAATCCATGCCCAAAGTGCTTAGGATTTCAGCTTCCATCTGCCCCAGCAAGTATGGCTAGTGGAAAAGGACTGTGGAAATCATAATTCAAAACATCTGGAGGCATCATCCTGCCCATCTCTGCAAAGCATTCCTCTGAAAATAAATCTCACGAAACCTAATGAGTCTTACTTCTGAATAAACATGTATAGAATTGCACTTCTAATCTCCAGTGGCCTTTCCTCTAACTGGTCTCCAAAAAGCACGGCAAAATTTACATAGTTCTAATCATGCCTAGTTCATATGAATCTGTTAATGCTCAAATGTGATGTCAGCTACAAACTCAGGTGGGATGCTTCAGGGAGATTAGATTTCTCTGAATTACAAGAACATCCCTTCCTTAAAACAAAGCAGCAGACTTTTTAACACCATGTTTAATAGTTTAGATCAAGCATGTTTGGACTTTAGATGAATTACATTACCATGGAGAGGTTTAGTATAACAAAACTCTGTGAACACTCAGTAGCGTTTAATGACAGTTGCCACTGGTATATTGAACAGAGCCTAATCTGATAAATGTATAAGCCTTCAATATTCATATGGTGTCTTTATTGTGGAAAATGAATTAAACGTAGTACATTAGAAATTCATATAGAAAGGCTTGTGCAGAGAACTTACTATTCCAATTACTATGCCATATTTTATTTATATCCCATCTTTATTACTTCTTCCTATTTGCCTCACAACAGTAACCCAGTGAGGTGGGTATATAATATGAGTCACTAATACTTCAAGTATAACTCAGGAAAAAAATCCACAACATTTTTATTAATAGCTCAGGTTGCATTGAGAGACTTGGGGAACATGAGATAATATAAGTAAAGCTGAAAGGCATCATTCTAACTCATAATAACTTTTACTATGATTAATTGACTAAGCTATGGTTTACTTGTTCTAAAACTCAAAGCATAGATTTGTACACCACCCATATTATGACTTTGTCCAATATTTGAATGCAATTATTGTGGATGGCAATCGCAGTGTGTATAGTTTAGATATAAAGTACTTGTTAACATGTTAGAACAGGTGTTCAGAAATTACTTACAAAGCTTGTCCTGCTAATATGAAATGAATAAGAATTATTCTTGACAAGGAATATCTTCATGACTCTCTGAAAAGACTAAATTGAAGAAACAAAGCTTATTTCCAAGGAAAAGAAAAGATCACTGGACTCTAGTGCATGCCATACTTCGTGATCTTGAGGACTATTAAAAAGATCACAGGGAACAGTTGAGCTTGTGTAACATAGATTGTATTTAGCAGTTGGTCATCTTCTTTACTCTAATATTCAGTGGGTAATTAAATAGTCCTTAATATATGACCGCAATTGAGCCCAACATTTTCCTTGCTAAGCAAGATCATTGTTAAGTGAATTTTGTCCCATTTTACAACTTTCTTGCCATAGTTGTTGAATCACTGCCGTTGTTAAGTTAATAACATGGTTGTTAAGGGAATCTGGCTTCCCCATTGAAATTTGCCTGTCAGAAGGTCACAAAAGGTGATCACATGATCTAAGGTCACAGCAATTGTCATGAATACATGCCAGGTGCCAAGCATCTGAATTTTGATCACGTGACCTTGGGGATGTTGCAATGGTCATGTGATGAGTCACTTTTTTCAGTGCTATTGTAGCTTTGAACGGTCACTAAACTAATGGTTGTGAGTTGAGGACTACTTGTGTATTTCTATTCTATTCTATTCTATTCTATTCTATTCTATTCTAATCTATTCCTATTCTATTCTATTCTATTCCTTTCATTTCTACCTTCCCACTGCCTGGCAAAGAGCTAATTTGGCTTGAGGGAAGGCTGTAATCTGTATCTATGATGGCTAAGTGATCTATTTTCTTTCACAGAGGTTGTGGACTCTGTGTAAGATCTGTTTCTCTTCTTTTCCAGATGTAATGTCCCAGAGCAGAGCCTTAGAATTAAGTAGAGATCCTGAAGGTAAGCATTACCTTGAATAAAAACCAGGAATATATTGAATTTGCTGTTTTAAATTACAGAGGGATAGGATCATTAAGTCTGTGTTGGCAGACATGAAAGAGTCTTGTAGTATATTAAATGCTACTTCAAGTTCTGATTCATGAAAGTTTAGGCTGTGATAAAATCAGTTACGGTAACCTTTAAGCAATCACAAGATTTTTCAACATTTATTTTCTTGTTCATCCTGGTGAAAGAATCTAAACAGCAATAGTATAGACGCCACCTAGGATCAAAAGAAGTTGCTATTGATTTTGGAAATGCGTTGGCATTAATTACTCTGGATGAAGTGCTAAAGCTGAGAAGGTGCTGCCGCTTATCACCTTAGCTGAAATAGCAAAGAATGATGTCACCCTCAGTTGGAGAGCTATCAAGTAATTAATCACACTCAAACTGCTAATCAAAACTGTTGATCTTGATGGCAGAGCCAGTGGGTAATTCTCTGAACCAACTATACACATCTGGAGGGTACTTAGTTGGGAAAGATTGGCACATACGAACTTGATCAACCCCAAATACTATTTCTTTATCTACTTTATTTTATCATAAAAACCAATCCTGAATTAAGATTGGAAATGGCAGATAGTTTTTATTGTGTTTTCAAGGTATCTTGATAGTACTGCCTATTTGTGGCTTTATTACTACTCCTTGAGCAGTGCAGGATAAATTTGGGTGGAGACAGCACTGAATGAACTTTTAAATATATGCATAAAGAACATCAATTCCCATTTCTCACCTTTTATCCTCTACTCTTTTCTTTCCCTTCTTCCCCATACAAAAGCCTAATACAGACAAACAGATACATAGTCATGCATGCACACCAGTCAGAATAAAGTATAAAATAAATGAACAAAAAGTGCTTGTGTTTTTGTGTATACACACATGCACAAACACACACACACACACAAATCATTCCTGAAGGGGCTTCCACATCTGAAGGAACCTTAAGAAACTTCCAAGTGTCCAAAATTTATCTCCCTCTTCACTGTCAGCTATGGAGAACCATGACTTTTCACCCACTTTTTGGCAGCTTAAAGAGAGAAAGACAAGAGATGTACAATAATGTCCATAGCAAAAGCAAGAACAAAAAGAATAAATCACAATCCTCTTCCTTTCAACTAACCATGGAAAGTGTAATATCTACTAACTATGGCAGGACTAATCCATTAATCAGGAATGAGTAAACCACAAATGTACTGCCGTATGCATTATCTCTTTATTTTAGAGGAAATAGCAGGAGGCTTTTGATCTCAGATTATGAGGAAGACTTTTCTCTTTACCACTCTGTCATTCTCTTAGTTCCTGGACCCATCTTATTGAAACAGTAAAAAGCAGAAGTGCAAAATAGGGTTTTTTTCATAGGTAAAAGAGTTAAGATGTGCCAAATCTCTTTTATCCCCACCCCCTCAAAAATCACAGTTCTACCAACTGTGACTTGGAACATAAAGAACAGGTCTCACTATGCACATAAGATAAACTCACTTTACAGACTTTTTCAAGAAAACGACCTGGAAATAACCAGGTTCTACTATGGTGGAAACAGGATACTATGCCATTGACTGCAAGAGAATGAGGGAGAAATATATTCATTAAGATATTTGTAAATAAATTATAAAGAGCTGTGGTGGCACAGTGGGTTAGAATGCAGTATTGCAGACTAATTCAGCCCAGAATTTGATCCTGATTGGCTCAAGGTTGACTCAGCCTTCCATCCTTCCAAGATCGGTAAAATGAGGACCCAGATTGTTGGGGGCAATATGCTGACTCTGTAAACCGCTTAGAGAGGGCAATACTGTACGGTGAATTTTCCTAGGTTGCATGCTGTGTACCTTATAAAAATGAAAACAAAAAAAATAGTGCTGTTTTTACAGGATGTCCACTGTTACATTTGGTACATGGCAAATAACCAGCCTTATTGTGTTCGGAGTCACATTTACCTCCCAATTAGCATTAGACTGAAGTTTCAGGCATTTCTTTATAAATCATCTTCTTGCAATCAGTTTATTCTACATAATTTTACAGTTATGATCAGCTATGGTGTGTGGATGTGATTGTGATGTGAAATGTTAACAGCTTCATATTAATTAAAACAGTCTTGTGTAAATAAAGCCTTATGTTGAAAATGCAGAGAATATATTCTGTAAACAATCACCATATTTTATTGACTGAAAAGGATGAATGTTAATATCCTTTGTAAAAAAAATTCCCTTTTAATTTTGCTTTTTTCCTCCTTGCTGTATATTCCTGCAAACCTGAAATAAGGCCCTGTTTTAAAATCCAGCACCACTTGGTTTCTTCTCTAGTGACTGCAAAACACCTTTGGTCCTATATGGCTTCATATATTCTAGGGAGAACTCTGAGTTCAAAATCTTTTAAAGTTGACAGTTTGGTTTTTGAGGCAGACATTTAATTCCTGTCAGCTCTTGAATAAGTGGATCAGCACTTGTTAAAAATGCAATGAGGCTGTACGATGGTAGAAGTGCCTATAGTATTTCCTATAGGCAGTCCAACTAAAAGTCAAGCTGTCTAGCTGACTGCAGATTACGAAGCTGCAGTTTTGCAAAGCCTGGAAAAGTTTTACTAAAGATCTGGGCAGGTGTCACTAGACCTATTGTGTTCCAGGGACATCAAAGAGTAAACTTTACCAGTCAATAGCTTCAGATAGCAGTAATTTTTTTGAATTCCTGCCTTTCTCTTCTTTAAAATACCATATAGACCATACTGAGGCTTATTGAATTACAATAAAGGAAAAAGAAAGAGGAGGCTCTACTGTTCTCAAGTGACATCATCAGAAAACCTGGCTGTGATTTCAAAATAATCAAAACCACACTTAACAATAGACAAGGCAGACTTGGTTTTTCATATTTTTTTCTGTTCAGTAATCTCTCATCCTCCAGATATTGTTAGATTCCATTACTCATTACTAAAAACAGCACAGCCAGCAAGTTATGGTTGATGGTAGGTGGAGTCCATTAAAGGACAATGGACCTCAGCAATCTTATCCTTGGTTTAATTAAAAAAAAAACAGTGTAAGAAGGCATACACCATCCAATGAAGCCTATTGTGACTATTGTACTTCTTCAACAGAGGTCCTCCCCATCCATACACCTATTCTTTCATTGTTATTGTAAATGATGCTACAAGTTTTTTGCTATAACTATATATTTGCAACCCAGTTGGAAAACAAAAATGGAAGTGAATGGTACAGAGGAGAAAGTAAGGAATAAACGTGTTTTGTTGGTGGCTGAGTAATTCATGCTTGTTTACAATCTTTGCTAACAAGCATGAGATCTTATGTAAATTCCTTATTCATTTGCCCAAGGAGAGCAATCAAGGCTTGACCCATCTAGGAAGTGAGATCCTTATCCATCTAGCAAAAGCTCTCTGTGTACCTTTCTTTTTCCCAAAATACAAGTAGCAGGTGGATAAAAAGAGAAATCTTTAGGAATGGAATAGAATGGAATAGAATACTTTATTGGCCAAGAGTGATTGGACACACAAGGAATTTGTCTCCAGTGCATAAGCTCTCAGTGTACGTACAAACAACAAAGTAATATAATAATCATAAGATACCAATAGGAGAAGTTAGTAAAAAATATGAGAAGGATAATAGTAATACAGCTATACTATACGGGTAAATATCCTTAGACATAAGACAGTATTGTGGTAATTAGGCATTCAGCAGGGTGATTTTAAAAGAATTGTAGTTAAAGGCAAAAGTTTAAAACTTTTGTGCTGAGTCTTAATCTGCTGCTCTAACTTTGCTTAGTTCAGACATGTCAAAGACAAGGCCCGGGGGCCAGATGCGGCCCGCGAAGTGGTTTCATGTGACCCACGAAGCCATCCTGGAAACAGTGAGGGAACGGCCCCCGCTGCCTTGGCCCTGGCCCAGGCTGGCCAGGAGCCAATGTACAATTTTGTGGTGGCCATTTATGCTGAAATGCATTCAATCTTAGCTCCACAAGGCCATCCAGAAACAGCGAGGAACCAGCTCCTGCCGCGTCGGTCCTACCCCCTGGGTGCATGCTGGGGAGGTGTCACCCTTTGTGAGGAATGAAGAAATGCACCATGCCTTGGTGCTTGCCCCGGTCCCACCCCCTTCTGCCAGAGACTCTCAGATCTGTCCCACTCCTGCCCAGGCCCCCACAGGCACGCTTGACGCAAACGATGTAGAGCTGGCCATGCCCACCCAGTAGACCACACCCACTCCATCCACGCCCACCCAGTAGGCTGCACCCACCCTGGCCACACCCACCCGGCCCCCCAAGGGCAACCACAATGCTGATCAGCCCTCAATGAAATTGAGTTTGATACACTTGGCTTAGTCGGATGCTCCAGCTCTCCAATTTATTTTATTTTTTAGAAAGCATCCATGGAATCATGTGAATCACTAAGACTTCATAGGTCTCAAGCTGCAGCTTTAGACAGTTCTTTGTGACTTTTTCCCATTGATACGGTATTTTCCAACCTGAGGCTGTGCTGAGTGTGCTAAATTAGCCAACATGCTATATTCAGCACTTCCCCCTCCCCACCCTCTACATTGGGATATGGCACAATCAACCACACAGAGCTGAGTTTTGATCCAAAGCTGTTCCTTAGCATTGCATGAGCTTCTTTCATCAAATTGGGAATTAAGGCGCGATTATAATATTTATTTTTAAGTTATCAGCTTCTAGCATTCTGATTTCAATGCCACAATGCCAAGAACTGGGAGGTTGCTTGCATTGTAGCCACAAACGTATGTAATCAGCTGGATCAAATACACACAGAATCGGTAGCTCTTCTGAACAACGTGCGCCATCAATCACTGCTTGCTTCAAAGAAACCTTTGCTGTGACCTCAATGGAGCACCTGTTCTCTTTTCTGACGTGATGAAAAACGGTTGTTATATCAACAAGCATATACTTCTGTGTACTATTTCCATCCCTGATAAATTCTTACCACATAAAACAGCTTGGCCTGTC